ATACAGGGGGGTTCAGCTAACGCAAGAAATGTTTGATTTATTTGCTTTATTGTATGCCGATGATGTAGTCATATTTGCTGATTCAATTGTGGGATTGCAGCAGCTGATTAATATTTTAGAACGCTTTTGTATTAAATGGAAAATAACTGTAAATAAAAAGAAAACTAAAATTATAGTGTTTCGGAAAGGTGGCCATAACTCAACTAAAGAAAGATGGTTTATGAATGATGAACCAATTAAAACTGTAAATTCCTACAAATATCTTGGGTTATTGCTGTCATGTAGAAACAGCTGGTCTAGGGCTGCACAAGCGCGCAAAACATTTTTTTCTTTATTTAGTTTTGAGTATAAAGTTGGTATACTTAATTATGATGTTTATTTCAGACTATTCGATGCTTTAATTTTACCAATTCTTTTGTACGGGGCAGAAATTTGGGGGTTTAAGCAATATATTCAGGCATAAAGAGTGCAGTTGAAATTTTGTAAACATTTTCTTGGGGTTGGTGATAAAACATGTACTGAAGCCGTACTTGGGGAATGTGGGCGGTTACCCGTTTTGTAAACTCCTTGTTAAAATGTATAAAATACTGGTTACGAGTCACAGAACTTCCTGAAGGGAGGGTTGTAAAGCATGCTTACAGACTTATGTATAAAATAGAAGAAAATGAAAAAACATCATGGGCCACTGAAATTAAAAATATACTTTATATGTACGGCTTTGGTATGGTTTGGATATCCCAGGGCGTGGGGGATGTAAACCTGTTTTTGGTACAGTTCAAGCAGCGGGTAATTGATATTCATAGACAGGATTGGTACAGTGAAATATGTTGCACTGCTAAACTAAGGTCATATTGTAGTTTTAAAACCATGCTTGAACCAGAAAGATATCCTTTTGTAGCTAAACACAGACATGCTCTAGCACGTATTCTCTGTTCGAGTCATATATTGCGCATTGAAGAGGGGCACTATACAGGGATGGAAATTGATGAAAGAATATGCAAGTTTTGTTTATCTAATGTAGAGGACGAGTACCATTTTGTTCTTGTTTGCCCATTACTTCACTCTATGAGAAAACAGTTAA